CTATGTGATACAATGTTATTCCTGCCATTTAAGAGACCCTGGCTATGTGATACAATGTTATTCCTGCCATTTAAGAGAAAGACTTCTAAAATGGTTTTTATTGGGTGAAAGGGAAGTTCACTGCAGGTCACACCTTTGAGATTCTTCCTAACTTGAGCATGGGCATGATGCTTGCTGCTCCAACAGACTCTTCGCAACTATACTGCAATGATCCAGCATGCCAAGATGCCAGGGAAGACCTGCAGACACAGCTGAGCTGCTGCGCCAGCAGGGTCCGCCTGGAGACTTCGCCTCCTGTGAATACTTTTCATGTTCCAGTCACTGCTGTTTTAGTCTGAGGTTACGAGCTGCAGAAAGTATCCCTGAGAACAAAGAGCAAAGGCACAGAGGTGGGTAGACTAGGTGTGCTTTCACGGAAACACAAATAAGGCCTGATACGCTAGAGCATTAAGTACTACTACTAATTTAAAAAAAAAAAAAAAAGAGGGAGCATGGAAAATGCAGAAAATGTAGGTGGGGCCTTGTGTTGTGTGGTAGTTCATACTGGACCAGGTGAGTGGAAATGAAGCTTTTCTTGGGGAGGATTATTTTATAAGAACTGTGCTCCAGCCCAAAATGCAGAGAATAAGTGACAGTTGTGGGCTCAACCCTTGTGCTACTCACTCAAGGCTCAGGGAACATTCCAGAAGCGGGGATGGATGCTTTGTTGACACCCATGGGAGACCTGCCCCTTTCTGAACAGAAACAGAGGAGGACTTGGGGTTGGGGAGGGCAGAGGAGAGGTGGAGGGAGGGAAATAGAGGAGAGGAGGGAGGGAAAACTGCATTCAGAATGTAAAATAAATGCAAAAAAGTTTAATTAATAAAAAAAAACTAAATAAATAAATAAAGTCCATAAGAGTCAGATGAGGTGGTAAGGTCTGTGAATTGTTCTCTAGACCTAATGCAACTATTATAATCCCTACCTCATATCAACTCTGTTGCCTGCATTGGGCCCACAGAGGACAGTCCTAGAAGGGGGGACCTCAGGGCACCCTACTCTTTACCTCTGAACTATTAGATGTTGATAGATTCTGAGAGAGGGAAAGTCGCTATCTTTGGCTATACCCTAACTGCTAAGCCTACCAGGCTCCAACGGATAGCTCTAGCTCATAACCATGCAGTTGCCCTGGCTAAACTCACAAACCAAAATGAACAGGCATGAACAGTAAAACGAGATTCGTAGGGTTGAGGGAGGATAGGCAGGGATGGCCCAGGATGGGAATGGTCAGTATAGGCAGGGAGAGCACCGGTGTGGGTGGTTGGTATACACCATGTACATGTGCAAGATTATAGACTAAAACTCTTTATAAAAGAACTGTGCTTTCAGGATGATGAATCTGCGTGGTTTGGAAGGTGAGGAAGAGAATCCACAGCCACTAGTTAACAGTCTGTGGTAGACATTCAGGGAGAAGGTGGGGGGGTTGGCCTTGGTGGGGGAAATGGGAAAAAGTGGATTGTGCCTTTTAATGCTTTCTCAACAAAGATGAAGTCTAGCTCTAAAAACAGAGTTTAGCCAGGCAGTGGTGGCACACACCTTTAATCCCAGCACTTGGGAGGCAGAGGCAGGAGGATCGCTGAGTTTGAGGTCAACCTGGTCTATACAGTGAGTTCCAGGACAGCCAGGGCTACATTGAGAGACCCTGTCTTGAAAATTAAAAACAAAAACAAAAAACAGAGTACTGAGGGGCCTATTCATGGGTTAGATTCTGTGCAAAGCGTGGTCTCACCACTTTCTCTTGCTATACAAAACCACTTTGAACTTGGCTAGCAACTCAAGCACACTAGACCAGCATCTTAATTCCCTTCCTCAGCCCAGTCCTTTCTCTCCCATCTCCAAAGTCAGATGCTCTCAGTGGGAAGGAGGCACAGCTCAGAATCCTCTGTGCCACCAGAATGGGTCCACTCCTCAGCTCCAGGGGGATCCGGTCCACTCAAAAGTGCTGTATGGGTCCCCAAAAATGTTAGACATAGAATCGATGTTTGATTTGGTAACTGAACCCTTATGTAGACAAATTAATTAGAAACCAATATTCAGAGGTCAGAATAATGCAGAGATGGCTCAGCAGATAGAGTGCTTGTGGAACAATCATGAAGCCCTGAGTTCAAATCCCCTGCCATGTAAAATGCCACATGTGCCGTGTGCACCTGTAATGCCAGCACTATGAAGGGTAAAGACAGGAGGATTCCTGAGGCTCACTGGCCACCGACTTAGCTCCAGGGTTAGTGAGAGGCCCTGTTTCAAAAGAATGAGGTGGAGGGTGCTACAGAAAGACACCTGATGTTCTCCTCTGGCCTCTGTGCATATACACAGGTGCACACACCTACACTTAGTGCATACAACACATATGAGTGTGAATACACACAAAGAAACTAGTATTTAAATTCTTAATCATGACTGTTTATAGTAATGCTAGTCAAAAGTTGAGAGCAATCCAAGTGCTCAGCAACAGACAAATGGATTCTTTAAATGTGGTATATCCATTCAGTGGAATATTATTTAGCCATAAAAAAGTTAATGCAATGCCAATATATGCCACAATAAAGATGAGCCTCACAAACATTCTGCTAAGTGAGAGAAGCCAGACACAAAAGATTCCCTATTGAACAATTCTATTTATATAAATTTCCAGAATAGGTAAACCCACTAAGACAGAATGGGCATAGGATTTCCTTTGGGGGTGATTAAAAATGCACAAGAGCTGACAGCTGCCCAAAATTGTGAACATGCCAAGTGCCACTGAAAATGAATAGTACACTTTGAACCCTTAGGTTTATGTTATCTATGGGCAAGTCATTGCCTATTGAAGGCCCTCATTGTCCCCTGTGTAAAATGAAAGGGCTGGGGTGGCTTCTAACAAACACTGTGTAGATGTTCACCATTGCTGTGAATTTGCTGCTGCTGGGGCTATGACTATACAGTTGGTCTCTGTGTCCTTGGATTACACAGCCATGGGTTGAACTAACCATGGACCAAATACATTCAGGACGGACCATGAAAAGGCTCAGTGGGTCAGGGAGCTTTACCACAAAGTCTGAAGACCTAAATTCAATCCCCAGGACCCACACAGTGGAAAAAGAGAACTGACTCCCACAAGATTCCCTCTGGGCATAGCATGGACACACAGAGAATGAAAAAATAAATAAATAGCCGGGCGTGGTGGCATACACCTTTAATCCAACACTAGAAAGTCAGAGGCAGGTGGATGAATTCAAGGCCAGCCTGATCTAGTGAGTTCCAGGACAGCTATACAGAAAGAATCTGCCTGAAAGAAAGAAAGAAAGAAAGAAAGAAAGAAAGAAAGAAAGAAAGAAAGAAAGAAAGAAAGAAAG